GCCCCCAAGGCCGGGCGGCAACGGCCGAGTTCTTTTTTGAAGAGCAATCCGGTAAAATACCCCGAGGGCTATGCCGACTTCAGGGGCTTTGGTGTCCGGCGCCCCTTTGTATGGGTGGGGCGCGTTGCTGTTTTTGGGTGGCGGGGAAGTGTGGGCCGCAGGGGGTGCATGGGAACTGGCCCCCCCATATTATTATAGAGGCTGAGGCCAGGACCGCCGGATTGGCCCTGCTCGCTTTCAAGGGGGGTTTTACCGGCCACACTCCATATCTGCATCGACGACGCGGCAGTAACGCATATTATAAAAAAAGACAACGCGCATTCCGATGCGCTGGTTTGGGAAGCGGGGTGCGTCGGCGGGGCGCTGCGCGAGCAAGGCTTACACACCACATGGGGCCATGCCGCGTCGGAAACCAATCCTGCGGATTGCATCTCGCGCGGGGTAAAGGTTTTACCGACGGGCATCGCGAAGGGGTGGGGCTTTCAAAAGGGAGCGCGCGAGGTGGGTTAAGGGCGGTTTCCGCACCTTCTTTTTGTCAGTTGATGAAAAGTTTTTTAACTTCCCTATAAATTTAATGTTTGGATTTTATCCAAAGACCCTCCAACTATGCAAACTAGGGGCATTGTTTTTGCGGTGAGGAATAGATATAAGGTGTCTCCTCTCTCCCCCTTTACTTATTAGAGGAGGGTAAGGTATGGACCCTTCTGTCTGTGTAGCCTGCTGAAACGCGGTAGGGGGCTGATCGTGCGGGTGGGCTTTCTTGCGAAAGGGCTTGGTGGAAGGGAATCGACGTCCTGGCTGAAGGTATGAGACCCGAAAGGTACCCTTTTACAAGCCGACTATATATTGATAGAAATAATGATTCTGAATATGGAATACTTGACTGATTGCTTTTGGTAGGTCGAAACAATGAACATTTTGTGTGAAATTGTCTGATTGTACGGTTTCTGCCCCCCATCAGTTTTAGAAGAAACGATGCAATGGACAGGGCATAGTCAGAGAAACATACAACTTATAAGTCTACTTTTTGAGGATTAACACACCGCCCCTCGCTGTGGCACCCGCCCTGGCCCCATCGATGGCAGGGTGTGTTGCTCAGTTGGGGGGCTGTCGTAAGTTTGTTGGCCCTAAGGGCTATCTCGATAAAAAAAAAGCCATCCTTTAGACAAGGGTCCTCGAAGGCTTCCCGGCCGCCCTAAACCTACGCGGCTGGATGGCCCTTTGCCGTTTGAACAGCACGAGCCATGTATAAAAATTTCCCCGCAATTGCCTGCAACCATCTGTAACCCCAGCCCTGTCGGCGGTGGGGGCCCGGGAAACAATATTCACCCGTGCGGTTTTGCGGGCCAATCCCGGCAACGCCGATATTGGAAAAAGCGCTGGTGTGCGGAAGGGCTATTCCGGTTGGTTTTTCCTTAAGCATCCCTTCCCCAAAAAATACCCTAACGCTTTACTTCGGCCGACCCTTTTTTCAGAAGACTTTTTTTTAAAAATCCTGCATACCCCCAAATCCAACTCTTGTGGCAGTTATTTCATTCAATAAAGCACCAAGAGCTGTACGAAAAAAAATAAACTCGTCTTTTGCGTTTGATTGGTATGCGCCATGGGTTCTCACTCTGCTAGGGTTGAAAATCAATCACGCAAGAAGGCAAAGAGCCACTGTTCCTGCTCTCAAAAAAAAAANATGCGCCATGGGTTCTCACTCTGCTAGGGTTGAAAATCAATCACGCAAGAAGGCAAAGAGCCACTGTTCCTGCTCTCAAAAAAAAAAAAAATGGAAAGCACAGTTGCAGAATTATATTGCACAAATTCCGTGAGTGCTATATTTCTAATTTTTTTTTTAACAACAAAACGCAAGGTTTTGTTGTTAACAGATCGTTTAAATAGCCTGCTTGTAAAAACTTCCAAGACTCCTTGGTAACGGTGACCGTCTTATCGTTGTGCTCAGATTTGATATGCCACATTGGAATGGAAAATGTAGAGTCGAGAAATATGCCATAAAGATATTTTATACCTTTATTACGCTTCATCTTCGTGAAATCTGACGTTTGGCACCTTATATTGTAAAGGTTTTTTTTTTGTCTCTCGAACTTCCGGTTAACGTCTGTGCACGTACGGTTGGGCTACAAAAAAAGGAAAAGGTCACCCACCTTGTTTCAGAGGGTATGACAAGCTTTTATTGCACAAATTATGACGAAACCTCAGCAAAACAGCGAACAGTACAGGAACATTCTCGGCCTAATGGCCGCCCCTTGAAAAGGAAGGGCGGGGCAATCGGAGTTTTTTAGAAAGCAGTTCCCCTCATAAAGGGTAGATTGGCACGCCTTTTTCAGCCTGCATGAATGTATTTCCTCTTTCGCTACCGTGTCAAAATCGTACGGTATTTTGACGCTTTCCATTGGCTTGCGGAGGTCATGCCGCTAACTCCCTTCAAAAGAAAAAATGCCCCACGCCTTAAACAGCTAGTTTCGGGCCCCTAGGGCACCAACGCCATGAGATAGCTCGCACCTGTCGCGGTGGGGGTGTG